GATATTCTGAGTCTGTCTTTTGAAACCTGTTTCACTGTCTGTATGGAAAAGCTGCATCTCCAGAACTCCCTCCTTGTTTTGTTCGCTTGTTTACGTATTGAACATTTTTGCTTCTCAGTTCTTTGCTGTCATGATGTTCCCTAGGGATACCAAATTATTTAGCTCTTAAATTCTAGAGGTAGTGAGAAGCAGTGTTGGGCAGTGGACTGGAAGTCCAGGAAATTTGGGGTTTGTTCTTGACTCTGCCACTGATTCACTATGTGACCTTGGGCAAATCATTTCACCTCTCTGTGCCTTTGTTTCTCCTCTCTCCCTTTGTCTGTCTTTCTGTGAACTCTTTGGGACAGGAACTGTATCTTACGCTGCGTGTGTACAGTACTTAGCATAATGAAGCAATGCTCTAAGATGAACAATATTACGCCCAAACAACTATGTTAACCCTTATTCAGGTTTCAAAATCAAGCACTCAATCTAGGAGGTGCCTGTCACATGTAGGAGCTGTGATGTGATGGAGGCTTTGGAGCAGGCTCAAGGAGGATGGAATCTTCAGACATTTTGGCTGCTAAATGCTAGCAACTCTCTATTGTTATGTGCAAAATGTGATTTTCTTCTCAAAGAATTAGAGCTGGTCAAATTTGGGTGGATTTTTACAGGGATGGCAAAAGGCACATCACTGACACAAAGGCCAACCCCTGGCCATATTTGAAGTCCCTGCCCCAAAGCTTGGGGGTGCTAGAGAATATCAAAGGAAAGGTCCTCAGAATTTTTGAACATGGGCAAAACAATATCTTTTTCCTTAGGCTCAATCTCAGAAATGGCTGCACCATTTTGGCTGAAATTTTCTTTTAAAAAAATATCAGACTGAGGCAGACACCTTGTAGGGAAAATTTCAGCCCAAAAGCTCAACATTTTGCAAAGTTCTAAGCAATTGAAAACAGGGTCTGATAATGGGAAGTGTCAAGCATGCTTAATGTGTCACCCTTAAGTGAGGTCTGTCCTTAATATCCCATTTTCTATAATGGTTAGAATTATGAAGAAAGGTTAGACAAATATGTTCATGCTAGGACTCTCAGTCCTCTGTGCTCTCTTCTCCAACCCTTTTTTTTCACACACACATTATTTTTGTCCTTACTTCTACCTGTTAAAGTTGTCAAACCATATTGCCCAGAGTACACATATATATTTGCCCCATGATCTGAGTTTTTTTCTGTGTGTGTAAGGGTGTGGGTAGCTGTTTGTGTGGTTCTGTCAGGGAGGGGTGGTGTGGGTGACAGGAAGTGGGTATTGATGGCTGAGCCTGTGGTTGTTGTGCAGCTGTTTAGTCAGTGCCGGAGGGGGAGGGAGATGTGTGTGAGAGGGTCAAGCAGGTGTGTACACTACTATATGGGGCAAATTGTGCATTGTGTGTATTTGTAGACAGTGTCCTCATTAGAAATATTGCTCTTGCTTTTCAAGATCTACTTTCCAGATCAAATTACCTATTTTGGGGGCAAACTTACGGTTTGAATTGAGTTTGAAACCACTGACCAAGTTTCATTCTCTAACTCACCAATGTGCCACATGGGTTCACAGTTCGGTTTTCCTCTGCCTCAGATAGTGGGTAAAAGAAAGGCCATGCCTCATGTAATCTCAGATCTTATATTGTTAATATGAACGAACTACCTCCCAGGTTTCAAAGATTCAGCAAATTCATTTGGGCAACAGCCATCTTACATTTTCAAATGTGGTGGTTGCTCTGCACTTTCTTAAAATCAGTCCTCTCTAAGGCATCACAAGTTGGGCACTCAGAAATTGAGGCATACAAAATCAATAGTCGTTTTTGAAAATCTTAGCTTAGGACCCCACATAAAAAAGCAGCAATTCCAGTTTTAAATGAGAAAAACGTTTTCCACTGGTCGTTGGCTTGGCTGTTACACAATCCCCAATGCTTTAGGACAGGGATCGGCAACCTTTGGCACGCAGCCCGCCAGGGTAAGCCCCCTGGCGGGCTGGGCCTGTTTGTTTACCTTTCACGTCCTCAGGTTCGGCCGATCGCAGCTCCCACTGGCCGCGGTTCACCACTCCAGGCCAATGGGGGCTGCGGGAAGTGGCAGTCAGCCTGTCCTGTTGAGGTGCCCACATTCGAAAATTGGACAGTTAGTTGCTGTTGAACCTTAAGTGGCAATTATGGTGCAGTAACTGGAGACTTGTATGGTAATAATTATATTATTACTGGGGATAATAAAGGATAGATTCTGGTTTTTTTCAAGTTAGATTCCAGGTAACATGGTAATTACTTTTGGATCCACTAAGAGAAATATCAAGAGTTGGCTGAGTTTTTAATTGTGTTTAATATGCATTGTGAATTTAGCCCTTTTTTCTGTTCACAAACCAATCCGTTTCTTTGAATGGCCGTGTTACTCCTAAGTATTCAGTAAATAGTTTATGCGAATGAATTTCACATTGTAGGCAAACTGTTCATTTGGACTATTTGTTGTGCGATATTTGAATGTCACATGGAGTTGTTCCCTGCTGAGTGATGGAAACATTTTACATAGGAGAGTAACAAACTCATCTTCCTGTAGGAATTTTTTGGATGTTTAATAAATTGTGCTTAAATTCCTGATTAACTTTCAAGATTTGCAAACGCTTTAATGGATATCTGCTGGGCTTCTGAATACTCATGAATAACATGATCCTACAAATTAGTATTTATTATTTGTATTATGATAGAGTGTACTGGTATGTGTACATTGCAATAAAAAAACTCATGGCTGCACAGACACACTGAGTGGCTTGCTGCCCAGTGAGTTTGTTACAGAGCTGGGACTACAAGCATGGGGTGAGATTCTGACCCTATTAAAGCCAACAGAAGTTTTGCCATTGACTTCAGTGGAGTCAGTATTTCACCTCCAGTCTCACGAGTGCCAGCCAGTACCTTAACCACCAGATGGTCCTTCCTTTCTCAAATAGTAGCAAACTAACCTCCCCACTTCTACTTCTGAAAACAATCTTCAGTCACCATTTGTATTTTTCAACCAGTGCTATAATCGGCTGGAAACTTAATTACTATTCAGCTGGTGCATATTTTCCAAAATTAAGTTGCCCTAAAATGAAACGGCCATCACACAAGATCTTTGGCCCTGTAACTGAAAATACTTCCCATTTGTTTGGTTTAAGTTTAATTAAAAAGAAGAAAAAGTTAGGTTTTAAAAAATGTCCCAGTCTTACCAGGCCCGCTTGCACGGTTTCCTGTTTCTTTATTTCAAAATTATACAAATGAAAACCAAACAATTAAAATTACTTTAAAAAGTTGTGGCTGGGGCTCACATCGCAATTGCATCATTTCCAAACCACCCTGTAATCACTTCTCTCTCATAACAAAGATCAAATATATTACGCATCATAGCTGGCTAAATTACATTTGAAATCACTTATCACTTACACATCACTAAAAGAAAAGGAGTACTTGTGGCACCTTAGAGACTAACCAATTTATTTGAGCATGAGCTTTCGTGAGCTACAGCTCACTTCATCAGATGCATACCGTGGAAACTGCAGCAGACTTTATATATACACAGAGAATATGAAACAATACCTCCTCCCACCCCACTGTCCTGCTGGTTAATACCGGTGTGGGCGGGGGGGGGGGGGGGGGGGGGGGGGGGGGGGGGGGGGGGGGGGGGGGGGGGGGGGGGGGGGGGGGGGGGGGGGGGGGGGGGGGGGGGGGGGGGGGGGGGGGGGGGGGGGGGGGGGGGGGGGGGGGGGGGGGGGGGGGGGAGGGGTTGGGATGGCTGGGATGGAGGGGTTCGGATGGCGGGAGGGGGATCAGGGCTGGGGTAGGTGGTTGGGGTGAGGGAGGGGGTCAGGGGTGCAGGCTCTGGGCGGCGCTTACTTCAAGCAGCTCTCAAAAGCAGTGGCATGTCGTCCTCTGGCTCCTATGTGGAGGCGCAACCAGGCGGCTCTGCACACTGCCCTGTCCAGAGGTGCCACCCCTGCAGCTCCTATTGGCTGCAGTTCCCAGCCAATGGGAGCTGCGTACAGAGCCCCCTGGCTGCCCCAATGTGTAGGAGCCAGAGAGGGGACATGTCACTGCTTCCGGGAGCCACATGGAGCAGGGCAAATCCCTGATCCCACTCCCCAGCTGGAGCAATGGAGCAGGGAAAGCCCTGAACCCCATTCCCTGGTGGGAGCTCAAGGGCCAGATTAAAACATCCGGATGCAGCCCCCAGGCCATAGTTTGCCCTCCCCTGCTATAGGTTTACATGGCGCTATGAAAACGAATAAAAACCTAATCGCTCCCTACCTATAGGTCCTTACACTCATGATTAGAAATAAGCAGAAATAATGCACAAGCAAAATTGCCATTGTCAGGACTTAAGGTAAATATTGTTTAAGTGGAAAAAACATATAATCAACTTCACACACTGTCTGAGTGAAATAAGCATGCTCAAAATGTATTGTTATAACATGATGGCTTGTGACCAATCAAAATATAAGTGTAAAGTGTTTTGTTTTGTTGGACTAGTTTTTTTCCCTTTTATATCCCTCTAAACTAAGCTTTCACTGTGGCTTTTATGAAAGACCCTGCTCAACTTTTGTAATGTTTTGTGACCTCATTCAGTTGTATTAGAGACAGATGCTACATTGACTGGGGAGGCAGCCATGGTAAGATTTTGTAGGCAGAGTGGATTCAACTCTCCTATTTTTTTTAAAGCTCTCAAGAGGAAAAAAAATAGTAACCTAAAGTTTAAAATTATTAGAGTTGTTCTTAGTCTAATTTTATTCCAGAGAGATTGCTATGCTTCATGTGGGTAAAGAGGCGAAGGGAAATAATTGGTATTGTAGGGATCTGAGATAAAGAATTACCTGTATTGATTTTTTTTAAGGCAATCCTCCTTTAAAACATCACCCACACTTCTTGTGGAATATAAACAATGAATAAACTTCCTGGTCTAGAGATTTCAGACTTTTTTTTTAATAACAAATTACATCATTTAATGAGTTGATAAAAGCAGGAGTATTGTTGAGAAATCTGGTCTGGTCTACTGTTTTCATGCTTCTTCATTTGTTCCTTGTCTTGGGAGAGTCCTGCAGTGAGGTTGAAGGCTTGTTTAGATAAGAGATGTGGTGCTCTCAAGGAATTTCTGATGTGATGGGATTAGAATCTGAAGGGAAGCTTTGCCTGTTTTCAACCGTTGTAGGTTTGAAAATAGAGAATACTAGGGTTCATTCTCGGTCTGTGTGGGTCTGAAAAAGGGAGCAAGGGGGAAAAAAATCAAATGCAAAGAATAGGGTGCAAAATGAAGTAATTGTGGGGAGGGGAAGCACATAGAGAAAGGGAGAATGTGTGTGGTAGGGAGGTCAGAAAGAGGGGAAGAATAGACAGGCAGATTCTAACAGAAAAAGAAGTTGATTCAGTTGTTGTTTTTCAAAGCTGTCTAGGGGATTTAGTCACACATCTTCTATTAAAATTAATAGAAGATCTATGGCTTAAGCCCCCAGGCAACTAGAGCACACTTTTGTACTGGCTTAATTTTTGGCATGCTTTTCCATCCCAGTACCTAGAATTTCCCTTTTAGGGAGGAGAAAACTATTTTTAAAAACCCAAAACAAATAATTTAAGGACCGCTACCCCATTAATTACAAGCACTTGCAGCATAGCAGAGGATTGGAATAGAAATGGTTGTTGTTTTTAAATACATGTCATGTGCAGGATGATTTCCTCCGATAGCAGAGCTACATCTCTTCACTTTAAATAGTTACAAATATCTGTAAGATCTCTTTACTTATATTGAAAATCATGAATTGCAACATGTTCATTTTATCACATGGTGATGATTATCAAATGATTTCTGCCCTCTAAACCCTACTGTGGGTTTTGCAATAACTAGTTTTGGATCTAGAAAGGCTAAATGCAAAAGGGGGAAAAAAAGGAATAAAGAAAGGTAAAATTGTAAAAACTCAGGAAATTCAAAAGTGAAGTTTCTTATCTTTCAAATGGCTATCTCTAAATATTGCAAATCCTGGATGCTTTATGGTATAGATTTATTATTTTTATTACAAGCGATAGTAGATTAAGCTACATATTTAACAAGTAAAGCAGGAGTATGGGACATGTTGCAACAAAATGAGTTAACATTTCTAGTACAACCTTAGTTCTCAGCGTTTTAACTGTATAAACCTAACATTGGGCTACCTTTTAGGGGTGAGTATTTACATGACTGTGATTTTAAAATTGTAAAAGGGGGAGAAAATGAAAAAACATGAAATTAGTTGGTTTTACAGAATTTATAGTCCCAATCTGTGGAATTTACATGCTCCTCCAGTTTTGCCCATAGTGATAAAAACCATCCCATTTGCCATCAGAGCTGGCACTATCTGGACAATTGGTATGTTTGCTACAGCATATCAAATGTACAGTTTGATGGCATAGGCATTTCTAAAAGATCACTGGTGGTTTAACCACCAGCAAAAATAAGAACCCTGCAATTGCTGCAAACCTGTCTTCTGTGAATATTCACTCACCTTTTTAACAAACTAACTTTTGTGTTCCCTTCTATGAACATTCATGTGACTGAATCTTGCTAGCATGAATGTTTACAGAAAACAAATTCCAAACCCAAGCATTCAAATACTTGTGGGACAGACATTTTAATTTTGCTTTCCATGAACATCTGCACCTGAAACCTGACTGCAGCAGCTGCACTCCTCCGATCTAGGAACTGTAACAATACCAGGTGGCCGAAATGATTAACTGCAGTAAGCAACACGAGCTGAATTTTGGATTTCGAACAACACAGCATTGCCAACTCAATCATTCAAAAATCATGAGTCAAGCCCCAAAATATCATGGTTGTTTTAACAACAAATATTTTATGAAAATAATAAATGTTGGCTTCTTTTTATTTGCCATTTAGCTTTGAGCCTCCAAGTTACACTTGAGTCACATTTTCCAGCTTTTCTCTGCAACTGTGAGGGCTAGAAACTTATTTTAAATAAAATTTAGGATTCTCTCATAATTCCATGCTTCCAGAAGCTGGGGCTTTAAGAAAAACATGAAATATTGTGAGACTCATGATAAAACTGTGAGAGCTGGCAACACTGGAATGAATAAACAAAATTCTCAAAATCAAAAAACCTCAACAAATTTTGAATAACAAATACATGTTGAAAAAATCATGACTACTTGATAGATTTTCCACAAACAAAAAAGAAGGTAAGCTCAATAAACACATTATTCTTTCTGAATTATTTGCTTCACTCTAATGAGAACCTATGCATTTGCACTCACAGACTTCCTCAGTGTGACAAGTTAGTTCTGAATCTGGTGAGTTGCTCTATAGTTTGTAGTTATTTGTGCAGAGCATTGGGATTTTGATTTTAAGCATTTGTGTGTATTTCTCTGTAGGCTAGTTTTAGATCTGCTCAATGTAATTACACAGTAATCTGCAGAACCCTGTAGTTATCCTATAGTTACAGTGTTATATTCCAGTTATAACTATATAATAAAAGGAAATTAACATGATATTTTCTTCTGTAACTAGAAGTACAACCATATTATACTTTCTCACTCATTCTCTCTACCCCTTTCACACTCACACTCTTTTTTTTTTTTGCCTTCATGCTTTTTCTGTGGACCTTTCTTCCCCCATTACCTCTTCATTGGAAGAAATGTCTCCTTCCAAAGTACCCGCTCCTCTCAGAGTGACAGAGAGCGCCTCCGTTTCCTAATGGTATCCTCCCCATGAATAAAAGTGGACATGGAATGGCTGATGCGAGTGTTCAAGCTGTCAGAACTGCTCCCAGTGCTATGGCCCTTCACCCATGGACGCAGGCACCGCAAGATGTTCCTGTGGATATAGCCATCAAAGCAGTAGTAGATGAAAGGGTTGGCACAACTGTTGGCAAATGCAAAGGGGCTGCTCACTTCCATGCCCGCCTGGGCAAGGACATAAGGAAGGCAGAAAGGTGGCTTCAGGTCCTGGAGCCCAGAGATGATAGCCAGAAGCTTGAAAATGTTGTACGGAATCCAGGAGAAAACAAAGGCAGCCACTACAATGAAGACAATCTTGATAGATTTCCTCAGCTTTTTGTCATGTTTCCCAGATTTCTGGTAATGCATGCAGAGCTTCTTGGTGATGGAGCAGTAAAAGGTCAAGATGCTCAGCAAGGGGAAAAAGAAGGCCAGAATTAACGTTACCAGTGACACAATCCGTTTAGCGGGTGTGAGGTCCACATCTATGCAGTAAGCCTGGCCATTATATTGCCTCAGTTCTCTGGACAGAAGTGTGGGAAGCCCTAGGAGGCAGGAGAGGATCCAGACACAGATGCAAAGTCCATTAGTGTAGAATCTTGTTCTGACTTTCCTGGCTACAGAGGGGTGCATGATGGCCAGGTACCGGTCAGCACTCATGCAAGTGAGGAGGAAGATACTGCAATACATGTTGACTGAGATGATGTACGAACTGCCCTTGCAGAGAAAGGAGCCTGACCTCCAGACCCCCAGCCAGATCTCCTTGTGCACCCAGAGTGGCAATGTGAGGAGGAAAACAAAGTCAGAGGCAGCTAAGTTGAGGATAAAGATGTCGATCAGCCTGCGGACTCGAAATTTGAAGACCAGGGCTCCCATCAGGATGGCATTGCCAACGATTCCCACCAGGAACACAGTGGCATACAGAATAGGAAGGAAAATGCCCATATATGGTATGTACAGAGCTTGGCAGTACTCTTCAGGACTCTCCGTGGAAAAAGAATATTCATAGCTATCGTTATAGCTTAAAGTTGTCTCAGACATCTTAAAGAAAAATCTGACCAATCTGGATGAGCTGTCACCACCCTTACTCTTATTATCAGAGACAGCAGAGTGCTGATCTTTCTTCTTTTTTTCCTAAAGATCTTAAGAAACCTCTTAAAACAAAAAACCACCACCCCCACCCCACCCTTTGATATTCACAATTCTGCATCCCTCTCAGCCAATCATATAAAGACAAGCAAAGGGAGAGTCTGATTAGTCAAACCCACACAAGTCAGATGTTTTGTAGGAGTCAATTGGGTTGAGTTGGGTTTTTTTGGCTAACTGATTTTTCTCTTCATTTTGCATTTGACCATGATGCCTTTTAAGGTTTGTTTTTTGTGGGTTTTTTTGTTCTTTTAAGGTTCTGAACTGTTTGGGTAAGGTTTTTTCCTTTCTTTCTCTTTAAGCGGGATATTATAATAGGTGAGAAAGTTTGAGGTGATGGAGAGAAACCAGGAAGTGGTTAATTCAGCATTATGTTCTTTTTTTTCTCTAGCGGATAAATTGTTGTTAGTCTGTTTATATATTTTTCTGAGACTTGGAGGTTTATACCTTGGATTATTTTGTCAACTGATTTTCTGGTTAGAGTGACTATCACCTATATAAATGCGACTAGGGAAAAGCTGTTTAAAACCATGCCTTCTCCATTCTAACCTGTAGCAGCAAATCCTGCTATTGCAGTCCTTGGATCTGCACACAGAGTCTTGCCAATGCATATCAGTCTTGACCTTCAGCACTACCTGCTATTCCATTTCTGGATTCATCTCTGTGTGGCTCAGAGTCAGAAAGAGTCCTTGTTTCCATTTTCTGCTGCAGTTTCAAGTCTAAAATTGCTCTTCCTTCCCCATCGCCAGCTCTGCCTAAGTACCTCACTCCTGACCTCCAAAATGCCTGTTTATTCCAGTCCTGCCTCCCCCTGGCACTGCAAATTCCATGCAGTTCTGGTGCGTAGCTCCTATGATATTCCCTCTTGCTGTCATACTGAAAGCTTTGCTAATTCATTTAATTTCTTATCTGCAACATCTGCTGCTATTCCAATTCTGAGCTACCCCACATACAGGCCTGTCAGCATTGCTTAGTCTGGATTTTAAATCTCTGTTTTAAAGTCCTTGATTCCAATACAGCTTTTCCAATGCCAATATTCCTAAACAGCAACACATCTGATTATTCTTTTATTGGTCTTCACCCTGTCCAGCCAATAAACCTTAGTTCTGATTTCCAGCCACTCTCCCCCGTCTTCTTCCAACATTCTCCTCCACTCACCCCTGCAGCTTTAGATCTGCAAACTCCCCAGCTTTTCCAGCCCTGCGCCACCACATAACTCTGCCAATGCACCTCAGTCTTGATGACCAGCACCCTCAAACCTGCAGCAGCCACATGGATTCTGAAATGGTCTTTCAAGAGAAATGAGCTAGTCTTCAGAGCTTAGAACATTTAAAATTACAGTGCACAAACTCCACAAAGTATAGTTACAGTCTAGTACCTGTCCTTCCCAGGCACAAGGATAGACTAGATTTATGAATCATCAGTGATCCAGGGAACTTTCCCATTGGTCCACTGAATGAAAGATGTTGAGAGCCAACTGGTTTGGGATTTGGTGTTTTTTGGATATGAGTTTTATGGTCTGTGAAAAGATCTCTGTTATGAAGTGATCATAAAATAGAAAGGTTAGAGACCCCTTGGACCAAACAAGATAAAAGATCTTTCCCATTTCTTATTTCTGTGATTCTGTGGCACAGTGACTAGAGATGGCTGAAAAATAGGAATAATTTTCGCAAAACTTGGTCCCCATATTTCTTTTAAAAATGTTAAATTCAGAAGTTTTCAGCCAGCTCTAATAGTGAGTTGAGAACTGGGCCAGTTTCGTTTCATTTCTATTCAAAGGGACTTTTTCTTTCAAAAATCACTTGCAAAATTGTATACCTAGATGAGATGGGCATTCCTTTCCCTTCAGTCACTGTGTCAGGAAATATTCTAAATTAAAATTAGCTCCACAATAATTCCAGCATGCTAGCAAATACATATGGTATGTTCCTCTATAGTGTATTTAGAACTAGATTCAGGGGAAGCTCATTAATGTGTGCAGCATCTCTCAACATTAATGATTTAATAGCAGTTTCTCCTTAAGATTAACTTTTTCCACAATTCTCACAAGAAGTGAATCAGTCATAAATATTTAAAAAGACCTTAACTGAGTCATCAAGATATGCATGTGCCCAAACTGAAAAACTACATAGTTGTACCTTTGTAGTTTCACAGTCCATCCCTTCCCTACAGCTTGTTAAACTTATTTGTTTAATTAAAAATTAGAGTGTAGCTGTTTGCAACAGGGATCATTTCTATTTGTTCTATAGAGTATCTAGCATGCTTTCTGGGTTCTGTAGTGAATTACCATATTACTAACAATTATTTTTCAAATAATTCAGAACATTTATAAGTCCAATATGAAGCATTATCATAAATAATTAATAAGTGATCTATAATTGTCAAAAAAAGCAGCAAAAAAGTATCTTGAATGTATTAGCCTTGCTTTTGTATTGTGTTGATTCAGTAAGGACTCTGAATCATGTAGGGCCAGATTTTCTGGCATCCACAACTACAGCCAGGTTTTCAGTAGAACTTAGCTCCCATTTATGCACCTAAATTAGGACCAGATTTTTCAAATGTGCTTAGTACTTCTCAGCCATCATTGTGACCAGATCTGTGGCCAGATTTTCAAAAGGCTCAGCTAAGATTGTTTGAAAATGCAGCCACATGGGAGCTAAAGTCTTCTGAAATCTGGCCCTAAATTCAGTCATTTCTAACACTAGTTTGAATTAGCACCATTCTCCTTTAATGGTTATATTTTTGCAATGTTCAAAAAGGCATCTTGGGACAACCTTACATACATTTGTCATGCTTAATATGTACTCTAATTGCCTTTGATATAGAACTAATATTACCTCAATATGTGCAGTATTCCTAGTCTTCCCTGTGGGAAAAAACAAGGTAATTTAAGGCAGAATTAGGACGCTCTTAAGCATCATGGCTGTAAGTTGAAGTGCAATTGTGTTTCCCCTAAAGCTACAGCAGCTTTGCAGAAACTAGCGATCATACAGATGATTTCCTTGTTCTCAGTGCTGAAAGGCTTATAGTACATTTGTGATACTAGCCTTCTGATTCAGTGACAAACTCAGAAATGAGATACATGGCCACACTATCAGCATAGGAAGTCTAAGGCAATATTAATTTTAATATCTTGAATGCAAATAAAGTTAGATTCACGATTCAGCATTTCCAACATCAAAATTTTTAATCGGCTGATAGTCTCTCTGTTTATATATACTTATTAAATGTGTTTTTCTTGTAAGTTTTACATGTGCCGCAAGCTTTTTGCCTGGGGTGTTTATATAAAATGAAATAATAAATACATCAAATAAAAAGTGACAGTAATAAACAGTGAGATAATATAATAACAGTGAGGGGGAACAGAGGTAAATTTGGATATAAAACAGAATGCAATAACTCATAACTGGATACAGTTCAGAAGCCTGCACTAGGGAAAAGAAGCAGGATCTGCCCACCCATTAAAGAGGAAAAAATTTATAGTCTTGCCAACACTGACTATGGTAAGTTTGCAGGCACCCAGCTAATACAGATTCCAGCCTGGGGTCTCTCTAACACTTGTCATTGTAATAGCAAGAGGCATGCCAGCTGAGAGGGGTTATTTTCTCTATCTGGTACCAGTTTAGGATACCTGAAATGCTCTGTATGCCAGATGTAGGACATGTTGTCCTCTGTAGGGTCTTGTAGCAATGGGGAAGCTGTAACACTAGTTAGGGTAAGAACTGCAGGCACTGAGTCAATAGATAGGCAAGGGGGTAATTTTGTAGATGGAAGGTGGATGGAGGTGATAACCTGGGCTATTCTTCAGGAAGGTTATGGCAGATGTAGGGCACATTCTCCCCCTTTGGGTTTCTCTCCTAGTGGAAATTACCGTTGGCAACTTAGGTTTGGAAAAACAGAATCGATCTGTTGGTTGGCTGGGCCTTGGGCCATTGGTAAAAAAATAAATAAAGAGGACAGAAGAAGCCAACAGTGAGCAGGAAAAACCATCTGAAGAATTCTAATGGAGTCTACTGATGTTTCTACTGTGGTTTAGGGGCATTAGAAATGCTGATCATTAGAGTGGGTTGCAATTTTTTAACCAAAAATTTTAATTACAAATGCTCTTTGTACATAGATATTTGTTAAAAAAATCTATTTTTGCTATTTTTTATAAAACTGTTGAATTAGCCTTCATTATCTTTCCATTCAAGTATTAACAAATCTTGTTCAGAACCAGTATTTTATCTTTAAAAGATGAATTTTTGCAAAACTTTTAATCAATATTTATTATAAAAATCATTTTTGCCTATTTTAAAAATAGCAAATTTTCCAAAACAAATTTTTATTTTTAGATACATTTTAAAAAATCCTGCTATGTGGCTAAAATGACCAGGCAAATATTATACAGAGGGGAAAGGAAAATGAAAAACAGAGGAAAAAAATTTTTTTTTGTGGCCATCTGTGTAATTTTTATGTCATCTTAATCACATGGTGGGATTTTAAAAAATGTTTTAAAATTTAAATTAAATCCTTTTTTAAAATTTCCATTTCAAAAATGAACAATGCTAAACGAAAAATGTTTGAAAATAAATGGTAAAATATTGAAACAAATGTGTGTGAAAACTTTCTAAAACAAAATTATTCTAGTTCAAATATTATTTTGAAATATCTCTCTCTCCTTCCCTCTTTCCCCCCCCAATAGCTTTCTGGGTCATGTGGACTGTGGAAGGCTTTCCAGATGGTCAAGAGGTGGAGTTGTATGGGATTGTCCTATGGAAAGAGATACAGAGAACCAGGATGAAGGGCAGGAAGGACATGCACTGTTGATTTGGGAGGCAGGGGGGAAGAATTTAAAGAGTCTGGTGATATTCAGCAGCATTCAGGGTAGGACATATAAACTCTGGCAGAAATCCTGGGGGCATCTGACTTCATGTGCTGCCCCTCCCACATGGCACCTCTGATGGAGGGTTCTGTTTTAGTTTTGCACAATTTTGTAAAACCAAAGCTGGGAGTGGTTAGACTCTAGGTTTCTAATCAAAACACACTTAACATATGGATTCCTCTGCCCCTTTGAGGCCCCTCATTTAACCTGTGCAGGATGTGTAGGAGGGGTGGGGATTTTATTAAATGGGTTGAGGAGGTAATTGTTGTCAACACTTGTGAATGTGTTGCTGGTCTCACCCACTTTGTTGTTTCCCTTAAAGCCCCAGCTCATGCAGCCAGGGCATTGTGTGAGAATTGAGACTGAGTTTGAATGGGGCAGGGAACATCTGGGAGACATGATGTCATCTAAGGAAGCTTTTAAATAATTTTTTAACTATGATTTTTACCATGTAGGCCTCTGACTGGTGAGTTGCAGGCGCCCAGCCACACTTGGGGATTGCACCCCACCTGGCAGAAGAGTTGCCCTCTTTCCTCAGGGCTGAGGAGAAGAGCCAACCAGATCCATGTGAGGAGGCCCTAGCTCTGCTTTGCCCAGGCACAAATGAAAAGGAGGACTTGTGGCACCTTAGAGACTAACCAATTTATTTGAGCATAAGCTTTCCTGAGCTACAGCTCACTTCATATGCATCCGATGAAGTGAGCTGTAGCTCACGAAAGCTCATGCTCAAATAAATTGGTTAGTCTCTAAGGTGCCACAAGTCCTCCTTTTCTTTTTGCGAATACAGACTAACACGGCTGTTCCTCTGAAACCAGGCACAAATGTAGCTGTTGTGACCCTCGCCCCAGACAGCCGAGGCAGTGACAAACTACAACTCCCAGGGTGCCGAGCGCCGTGCAGACGACAACTCCCAGGGTGCGCTGCGAACAACCCTCCATGTGAACGACAAGTCCCAGGATGCCCCGCGCCGGGCCCGCCGCGAGGGCCGAGGGGCCAGCGGGGCACTACAAGTCCCAGGATGCCCGGCGCCTGGGGGGGGGCGGATGAGTGTCTCCGTGCGGCTCCCGCTGCCGGCGCGGTGCGGGGGTGGGAGGCGGAAACGCCGCCGCGGAGTCGGAACGGGGGTATGAGGAAGGGGATGGTGAGTGCGGGGCGGGGCGGGGTACGGGCAGTTGGGGGCACGTGGGGGGGAGGTAACAGGGGGAGAGCACTGAGGGGGTACCTGGGGCGGGGGGGGGGCAGTCCACGGCGGGGGAGGCTGGGGGGCAGGGCACGGGGGGGGGGGTTCCCCTCTTCTGCTGATTTTGTGCTTTATCGATTTTTATTCCCTTTAAAAAATTTTTTTTCACTCTCTTGAGTCACACCCCTTCTCAAATCCCCACAGTCGTCTTGTCTCAGAGGCTGTGCCTGTCACGTTTCTCCTTCCTCCGCCGCCCCCCCCCCCCCCCCGGCCAATTAAATATAATGAAATACCCCTCAACACCGCCATCGCCCGTGCTAAGGGCGTGTGTGAGATAAAGGACCCTGTCAGGTTAAAAGTCGTATTCTCTCCTTTCGTTAATTTTCATAAAATTCCTTACTAGCATCACTGATTATCTGAGAAATCATCACAAAGGGCAGAATTTGAGGAACTTAACTATTCACCTGCTTGTTTATGGTTCAGGTATCTTGGTCAGTGAAACTGGACTGGCTACTTTCACCTCCTGCTTCCTGGGTGTGAGCATGGTGGTGCTATGTTAGGACTACACACAGGAATTTTTGCATTCAAACAAATGTTTTTATTGACTTTTTTTAATTAACAGTTTTGTAAGGTTAGTTATTTAACATAAAAGTTAAATGGTAGGCTTAAACTACCTCATTTATGTCCCTCTAAATAGATCATCATTTTAGTATAAGAGAAAGCTGAATCAATGGAGCCATTAGGACAGATGGGAAATTTCCACTTCATTTTTCTGCAAAAAGAAAAGGAGTACTTGTGGCACCTTAGAGACTAACCAATTTATTTGAGCATGAGCTTTCCTGAGCTACAGCTCACTTCATCGGATGCATACTGTGGAAACTGCAGAAGACATTATATACACAGAGACCATGAAACAATACCTCCTCCCACCCCACTCTCCTGCTGGTAATAGCTTATCTAAAGTGATCATCAAGTTGGGCCATTTCCAGCACAAATCCAGGTTTTCTCACCCTCTGCCCCCCCCCCCCCCCACACACACACAAACTCACTCTCCTGCTGGTAATAGCCCATCCAAAGTGACCACTCTCTTTAAAATGTGTATGACAATCAAGGTGGGCCATTTCCAGCACAAATCCAGGTTTTCTCACCCCCCCCCACCCCCCTCCAAAAACCACACACACAAACTCACTCTCCTGCTGGTAATAGCTTATCCAAAGTGACCACTCTCCTCACAATGTGTATGAAAATCAAGGTGGGCCATTTCCAGCACAAATACAGGTTTTCTCACCCCCCACCCCCTTTTTTCAAAAAAACACACACACAAAAACTCACTCTCCTCCTGGTAATAGCCTATCCAAAGCGACCACTCTCCCTACAATGTGCATGATAATCAAGGTGGACCATTTCCAGCACAAATCCAGGTTTTCTCACCCCCCCACCCCCATACACACACAAACTCACTCTCCTGCTGGAAATGGCCCACCTTGATTATCATACACATTTTAAAGAGAGTGGTCACTTTGGATGGGCTATTACCAGCAGGAGAGTGAGTTTGTGTGTGTGGGGGGCAGAGGGTGAGAAAACCTGGATTTGTGCTGGAAATGGCCCAACTTGATCACTTTAGATAAGCTGTTACCAGAAGGAGAGTGGGGTGGGAGGAGGTATTGTTTCATGGTCTCTGTGTATATAATGTCTTCTGCAGTTTCCACAGTATGCATCCGATGAAGTGAGCTGTAGCTCACGAAAGCTCATGCTCAAATAAATTGGTTAGTCTCTAATGTGCCACAAGTACTCCTTTTCTTTTTGTGAATACAGACTAACATGGCTGTTACTCTGAAACCTTTCATTTTTCTGCTTGCTCCAAAAAACAAAATGCTCTGTATCTTCAATAAATAAGTTGCTTTGCAGTGAACTCAGCTGCAATGATCCCAGGGCAGTTCAGGGGCAGAATTTTAAGTTAGTTTTCAATAACCTTCCTTCCTCTCTGAACAGTGCCCTGTTTTCATCCTTATACAGAGGGAGGATCACCACATTGTAAGACTTCTGAGGAAAGTAAAAAAGAGTGAATAAGATATTCTGGGATTCTTCTCCCTCACTTCCAAAAAGAAGCACATTTGGTGTAAATTGGATGCTGCAATGTGAAAGAGGCATGCTGATTTTAGTGCAATAGAGGAAACAGGAGAAAGTTAATAATTGGAGGCTGGGGGAGAGGGTTGATATTAATTTGAGTTCTTTCATTATCTGCCTTGAGTTAAATTCTCTGAGTGCTATTTTCCTGGATTTTGATCCCATGAGATTCAGTGCAGTCTGTCACGGACTCACAGGTCGTGCCCACTCTTGGCCGGTACGGTCCCTGGAGGGAACCCCCTTCAGTGTGACACCCTTTCTCCAGGGGTCCACTCTCTCGGGATTAGACCCCTCAGGCTCCTGGAACTGCACCTCTCTGAGCCTTAGAATGCCTGTCTCTCGCTGTGGGCCCCCTCAGAGAGTCCGCTTGCTCTGGACCCCCAGGGCCTCCACTCCCAGAGGGAATAATGCAACCCTGTTCCCTAGACTGGAGTGATTCTCAGCCAGCCTAAAACACAATGATTTATTAAGCACCTGAACACAGCACAGGAAACTCTCAGGGCCCTCAGGCCTGGCCACCCTCAGCACAGCACATCTAAGGGCTTGTCTACACTTATATTTTATAGCGTTCTAACTTGCTGGCTCAGGTGGGTGAAAAATCACCCCCCTGAGCGCAGCAAGTCTGAGCACTTTAAAGCGCTAGTGTAGATAGGCTCTGAGCGCTGGGAGTTGTGGAGGTGGATTACCAGGAGCGCTGGAAGACCTCTCTCCCAGCGCTCGCGCGCAACCACACTCGCACTTCAAAGCGCTGCCGTGGGAGCATTCCCGTGGCAGCGCTTTGAAATTTCAAGTGTAGACACACCCTGAGTCTCTCCTGCATCCAGGTGGATGCTGCCTGCTCTCCCTCTCCAGTCCCGAGCCCCTGTGCTTTTCAGCTGGGCATCTGGTATCACCTCCCCCAAATCCCCACCTCTGTCCATTGTCTTCTATCCAGGTAAACAGGGTCGCCTGGACCTCCTCTCCTCTCAGCCATCCTTTGCAACCCTCTGGCTGGAACCAGCTGGTCAGGTCACCGGGGTCCTCGCTTTGCAGCCGATTGTCCTCCCACTGGCCAGAACCGGCTGTGACTCCTGAGCTGGGCCACCCGGTCACCAGTTGCTGGGGTATCCATTCTTCAGGCCATTGGCTGGGGTCACAAGTTCCATCGCCGGCGTCCTCTGTAACAACAAACTCCCTCTCCCATCGCCTCGTTAAACCAGTAACACCCAGGGAAACTGAGTCCCACCCCTTCCGCATGCAAACCATTAAAAAAACCAAGAGAACCCCCCACTTCGTCACACAGTCACTCTCTGACTGTGTGTTTTGTTAACAGGTCTAAAACTAAGGCCCTGATCAATTCCCAAGATATTTTTCCCTAGTGTCCTGAGCAAATTTCAGTTAGGGCATTTACATTCTCCTTATTTCAGTTGGATACGTTATTTACTCCTGGGGGAATTCTGCACCAAAAAATTAAAAATTCACACAATATTTTAAAATTCTGCATATTTTTTTTTAAAATGACACAATATAATCATGCCAGTTTCAATTATTTTGGTAATTTATTTCAAAATATCTGTCAGCAAGTATGTCTAACAATACAGACAACAAAAAATATTCAGAAATGTTTTTTGACAAATAGATTCTTTAACAGGAATATTAATACAGAACTTTGAGTAATAATTCATTTAAACTACAATACAGAATTTATTTCCCGCAGCCCTCAGAAGCAGTGCAAAGGCATGGGAAAGTCAGGAGTAATGGAGGAGCTGATGGAGAGGGAAGTAATTGCTGGGAAGGAGCCTGGGAGTGAATCTGGAGAGTTGTTGGGTGTGGGTGGGAGAAGTATGGAACAGTTTTTCGGAGGGGGGAGGGATTTTTAGGGAGTTGGGAAGCCTCCCCCATGCAAACCCCAGGTAACCCCTAGCCTCTCCCATTCAGTCAGGCATATCTGCACATGTTCCCGTGTGTCCCTGCACCCCCATTCAGCCACTCTCCCATCCCCATGTGTCCCTGCACTCCATCCCCCGTCCCCATCTGTCCCTGAACCCCCAATCTCTCGCCTCCCTTTGCCCATGTGCCCCTGCATCTCCACTCCCATTAGATCCTGGCTCAATGCTGTGTCTCTACTCGTTCCTGTGCCCCTGCCTGTCTCCCTGCCTCCAGCCCTTCTGAACTCAGTCTGTGTGACCCCCACAGAAGCCCTGTTTGACCTGCATTGTCTGCTCCCCCTATCCAGCCCTCCATCCCGTGCCTCCTCACCTGGTCCCACAGGCAGGGTGCTGTGAGGAAAGCAGCCTCCTCCTCCTCCCGCTCTGTGACTGGCTGCTCCAGCCTGGAGCTTGCTGCCGTCTCGGCTGGCACCACAGCAGCTCCTGGTGGGCAACAGGTGTAATTACAGCACCTTCCCAACAGAATGTATTTTCTGCGGGGGGTGGGAGGGAGATCTGCAGGAGACATGAATTCTGCATAGCAGTGCAGAATTCCCCCAGGAGTAATTTCACTTAGAACCCTTCTAGGCTGTGAGGCTGGTTTCACCTCCTCTTTGGCCTTGCATGCTCCCATCTTTTCTATCCTCCAGTCCTACTAAAATGTTTTTGTAAAATTCTCTTCCTTTCTTGTTACTCTGACTGTGACTTGCCCCTTTTTTCAACTCTCTATGATGACTTTCCCTTTTCTTCTGTATGAAATGTAAGCTGCTTCTTGCTGAAAGCTTTCACTCCATTCTTTACTTTATCACCTCATCCCCAATTTCATCACTTGCTGCTGTGAAAATAGCTTTTTTCTTGTGTGCGCTATCTCCTTCACCTACTCCATGCTTTAGGCATTCTCTCACTTCTTATTGTTGCAATCAGTGTACATCAGTCTCCCTCCCTTTTCTACTTTTAATAAAAACCCATAAAAACAAAAATATTTGACAGAGCGTTCATACTTCAGGGTCCGTATGCTGCTGTGTTGTAGCGCTTTGTGCCCATCATCCTTTTTTAGACTCTAAACTCACTTATTACTTGTTTGCCACTACCCAAATTGTATAAAACCAAGAACACTGACAGACTCACTGCTACTAAATATACCTTCTATAAAGCAATTTTAGATCCTTGTGGACAAAAGAGAAAAGTCTGAGACATTACTATGAAGCTTTATAAATCTTAATAATTCCCTCCACTCTCCCAGTCACTGAGGGTATGTCTACACTGCAGTTAGATACCCACAGCTGGCCCATGCCAGCTCATTCGGGCTCACAGGGCTCAGGCTAAGGGGCTGTTCGATTGTGGTGTAGACATTCAGGCTTGCGCTGCAGCCCAAGCTCTGGGACCCTCCCAACTCACAGGGTCCTAGAACCTAGACTCCAGTCCAAGCCTGAACACCACCACAATTAAACAGCTCCTTAGCCCAAGTCAGTTGGCATGGGCCAGCGGTGGGTGTCTAATTGCAGGGTAGACATATTCTTAATCCCTTCCCATCTTTAAATCTCAATTTAAAGGACTTCATATATGCTTTGGTACATAATTGACACTTTGTAAAGGATTTTATGGTATGACATAAATATTTAAAAATGTGCATTGTACTATGTGTTCCTCGTGTTCTCTCCCAAGCAGTTACTATCTCTGCTTCCTACTCCTACTGAGTCTTGCCTGGGGCGAGAAGCATGACTGTTTCTTTTATGTAAATGAATACACCTGTGGTAATTGAGCATGAGTGGATATCTGTTGCAAATGAAGTTGCATTGGGTGTGGACGCTGTAAAAGCCGAACAGACAAGTGAAGTAGGATTACTGTGGTAGACGGGACCTTGGTTAATATTTCATCTTAAATGTTCACTGAACACTTGAGCTATTTATAATTAGGGGAGGGTTCAGGATTTGGAAGGAAACATTGCTCCTTCATTGTCGCATGTTGAACGTGAAAAGGAAGCGATGTTGTTATGCATTCAGGGAGGGATTGGTCGTGGGATTAAGGGACTAGTTTATCCCAGCAGGGTCAATCTTGTGCTTGGTCTCGGGGGGGTTACTATTATTATTAATTGAACCTCTGTGTTTCTCACCTTTCTATTCCCCCCACAGCAGTTGGGACACCATGATGGATAACCGCTTTGCTACAGCTCTAGTAATTGCCTGCGTGCTCTGCCTCATTTCCACCATTTATATGGCAGCCTCAATCGGTACAGATTTCTGGTATGAGTACCATAGCTCAGCTGGAAATGCCAGCGAACTTGGCAGGAGTATTTTGGAGGAATTCACCAGTATGGAAGCAGATGAGAAGACTTATACAGATGCACTGTTCCGGTGCAATGGCACAGTTGGATTGTGGCGGAGATGTATCACTGTTCCCAAAAACTCTCACTGGTACAGCCCACCAGGTGAATTAGTGCATCCTCCAAATAGCGTTTTCCTCCACCTTCCCTGTTCCTTCCTGCCTTGAGCTGCAATTTAAGGGTTGGATATCAAACAGTATTTCCTCAAAATGGATCTGTGTCACCTCACTTTTCCAGAAAGCTTCTCTGGTTATTAAACAATTAGGGCAAATATAAGTTTTAAAGATGCAAAAGGAAAGCCTTATGCAGCTGCTAGTGAGTGTTTAGAGAACCAGGATTTGATATGTTAAGGTCTTGTCTACACTTGCAGCGCTACAGTGGCTCAGCTGCACTGATGCTTCCTATGCTGACAGGAGAGCTGCTCCCATCAGTGTAGGTATTCCACCTCCCAGAGTGGCGGTAGCTATGTCAACAGGAGAAGACCTCCTATCAACATAGCGCTGTCTACACTGGGGTGTGTGGATTTTCCTCACCCATGAGTGACGTAGTTATACCAACGTAAGTGGTAGTGTAGACCAATCCTCAGTTTCATCTTAAAGTGAGTCCAGTGTAATTTGTTTTTTTCTGCACTTTGTTTTCCAACTGAAAGAAATGTCATTGTTACTTTTTCTCACTTAGAGTTTAAAAAGTGAGAGTAAATATTATTGTTTCTGACAGTTTTTAAGTAACTTTTTTTTATTTGTTTCCACACTTTTTTAGAGGAAACGGTGTGGTTGAAAAGTTGGGCATTTTCTCACAATTTCTAAATGAAAAATTTTGAATACACTTAAAAATTGTGTGTTCCTGAAATTTTTCATTTAGAGACTGTTTTTTTTTGAAAAATGAGAAATTGTCTCAACATTTTCCCATGGAATCATTTTCAGTGAAACCCCATTTCTAATTAAGGATCTTTTTGATGAAAATTTCAACTAGCTCAACTCAAAAGCATCTTTTAGAACTTCAGAGTGGCGATGGACAGATTTTCAATGGGAACAAACACCATGAAATGTCTAAAAATTTGTTTCAGAAATAACAGAAATAGAAGTATTTAAAAAGTGTACTTGCTGTTCCATGAAATGTTTAACAAGGCGTTGAGCTCTTCACATTGAGCTAAACACCGCTGCTTTGTTTGGATGTCTAATTTAAAGACTGAAGAGCACTGACCACACAGTATTTGAAATACGTGTGGTGCAAGATACCCAATCTGTTGTATCAATAAGTACTGGTGCAGACCTCTCTAGATTGCCTGGAGGTGCTGCCTATTTTAAGTTTATGTCACATGTTGAAATAAATGCACAATACATTTATTTTAATGGAATATCAGTATAAAGAAAACGTTATGGTCTCGTAGTTAAGCACTCACTTTAATAATTTGGTCAGCACTAGCATATTACATACTTTATTTTCAACTACCCCGACAACCTTCCTGAGGGGTCATGCAAGGGATGACACAGTTGGCTATGAAGCTAGCTTTACACAAAACTTGAGTGACCTGTATATGCCAGCACAGTTTTTCAATATTCCTCTCTGATGTAATACTTAATCTATAGGTTTCAGAGTAACAACCCTGTTAGTCTGTATTCGCAAAAAGAAAAGGAGTACTTGTGGCACCTTAGAGACTAACCAATTTATCTGAGTGTAAGCTTTCGTGAGTTACATCCGATGAAGTGAGCTGTAGCTCATGAAAGCTTATGCTCAAATAAATTGGTTAGTCTCTAAGGTGCCACAAGTACTTCTTTTCTTTTTACTTAATCTATAGTAAACGCAGTTTACTATTGTAACTCCTAATAATGAGACTCATTAAAATGAGTCAGAGTATGAGAGAGTTGTTTATCCTTCTGACAAGGGGACATAGTGCTCTTAAATCAAGAAAAAAATGAGAGTGGTGAACTGTGAAGGAATTATTTATTGCTTTGGCTGTAAATGTGTGATGTGAATTGATCCAGGGAAGCAGTGGAATAAGGGGGAGTGGCTAGTCTTTATAAAGATTACTTCTGAGAACGGTTCTCACCCTAAAAATAGCTAAAGGGATTTCTCATGTAAAAAGAACAGCAGATGCTGGATGGGAGCAGGATTGTCAAATGAAAATAAGGAATAAAACTAATGGTGGTTATTGCATTTTTCCCCCCTCCAGAAACTGATATGGTCAGAAGCTGCATCAGTTTTTCCCTCTCTGATCAATTTGCAGAGAAGTACATGGAGCCTGGGAACCACAATAGTGGTAGTGACCTGAATCGGACCTGTAAGTGCTTTTCACCTCTGGTAGGTAGATGTGGGGGATAAAGGAGGCTGGGAAAGAAAAGAAGAGGACATTTTCATTTCCAGATTCAATCATTAGTGAGAGAATAAGGAGAGAAGTAACTATTTTGATCTGCCCACCTCAGCTAATGCTTCATATAATAACCCTGGGTATTAGTCATGACTTGAAGGCAAGGGTACGTGATTTGTTTGTTTGCTTTAGGAAAGGATTAATTCAGAGAACAGTGTTGTGGGAAAACTCAGTAAGTGAACACACATTCAAGTTCCTCCCTCTCTTTTCACAGGAGGCAGTGGTCCTTCCTAGCTCAGGTTGGAGGTCCCTGATGGAGTAGTGTATGGGAATGAACATAGATGGGCAGGGAGAATGTCAGACACTGACATGTCTTTAACATATCTGTGGATGTCTCTCTCTCTTATACACAGATCTTTGGCGTTTGCAGTTTCTCCTGCCCTTCGTCAGCCTAGGGCTGATGTGCTTTGGGGCTTTGATTGGTCTTTGTGCTTGTGCCTGTCGCAGCCTCTACCCTGCGATTGCCATAGGAGTCCTACATTTCCTTGCAGGTGGGTCCTGTTATGTGCTCCAGCCCTCTTCCTCTCCTTGCAGTGTGACTTCCCTGACCATGTCAGCCAGGGCATCTGTACTGTAAGCTGATTGTCCTGTACTGTTTATTCCCCAGGTCTGTGTACGCTGGGCTCAGTCAGCTGCTACGTAGCTGGAATTGAGCTGCTCCACAAGAAGCTGCACCCACCTGATGATGTGCAGGGTGAATTTGGCTGGTCCTTCTGCCTGGCTTGTGTCTCTGCTCCTTTACAGTTTATGGCAGCTGCTCTCTTCATCTGGGCAGCCCGCACCAACAGGAAGGAATTCATGCTCTTGAAAGCATACCGTGTAGCATAAATAGGACACTTCATTCATGGCCAGTTGCTGCTTCACAGTATTTTGTTTCAATATCATAGGCCTTTTCCCAGTCGTACCCCATCTTTCTTTTGGACAGGTATCTGCTCCATGCACTGCGTGCTTCTTGCCAGTTGAGTTTCAGTTGTCTGCAGGCTTTGAAGACAAAGGCCTCTGGGCCAAATTACCAAACTTGAACAGCTTTCTCTTGCCAGAAGTCTGCAGAATTTTAACAGACTTTTACTGTATAATTTTTTAAAAAAACTTTTATTTGTTTGTGGAAGTAGTCTTAAGAGTTCATCCCCTTTTTTTAATTATACTACCCTAACTGGACACTCACATCTAAATCTGCTTTGAAAAAACAGGAGAGGCATTGTGGGGCAGAGGATGAATAGGGGAAGAGAAGAGGGAGATGCAGGAGAAGACTGAGAGAACTGCAGAGTGTGAATAATAGAGAATTGGGCACTACATGTTATGAGATCCCAGCAGGTGATGCACTCTCAGAGCACCAAGCAGAGATGGATGTGCAGAATTGTGTGTAGAAATGTTATAGCTACATCTGTGTTGTAATCTGGTTTGTTTCTTTCTCTCTCTTACTCTCATTAGTTTCTCCTCTCAGCCTTTTATGACCAGACTGATGTGATTGGGGCAGTCAGCTGTAGCTTTTGTGCCTGCTGTAAAATCGGGCCCTTCCTTTACTGTGTTGAAGGGGCAGGCCTCATGCAAGGTTTGGATTTAATTTGGTTAACGTGTGTATGTATATGTATGTGTATATATATAAATAAATCTAACTTTTTGTAAAGCTTATTTATTTGCCCCATGTAGCACACAGCAGGTTTTTTTAAAATGTGCTGCGTGTTTCCCACCTTGCCCCACACCTGTTTAAAACACACAAATAAACCAGAGAAAAGGCTCAGAAATTTTATCAGAGTTGTTGTGAATTTGATTGAAAAAGAGAATGCCCTGAGACAGATTAATATAATATTGTCTGGTCACTGTTGTTCATAGTGCTCAAGTATGAGAGAGGGATGACCAGTTTCTATACAAAACCTTTTCCCCTTTGCCTTAGGGACTCTTTAATGAGAGAGTGGGGTGGGTTTGTTTTTTAAAATCACTTCATTTTAAGGGTGCCTGTTCATCATCACATCTTTTGAGTGAGATGTGGAAAAACCTTAGTTCCCAGTTAGCTCACCCTGTATACAAATCTGCCCTTCAGCTGCTCAGAGTCCATCCAGCTTTTCGTTGTACGTCTTGGAGGAAAACAAGCCCAACATTCAGAGAGTAAAAAAATTCTGTTCCCAGTTGGTTAACAAGTTTTAAACCCCTTCCTTTCTTGCTGCTGGTTTGATAAAAGAAACATCTCATTGAGAGTGAATTGAGTTGTAACAACTTTCTGAACAAGAGTACCCATCAGGGTTGCATTTGCTGACTCAGCGAACCACACAGAACCTGATTCTCCTGTCTCTCTCACCTGTGTAAATCTACAATAATTCCATTTCAGTAGAGTTGCTCTGGATTTACACTGGTGTATCTGATAGCAGCAGAATTTAGCTCCTGTACCTTTGCTGGGCAGACAGAATCTTGCTATTACTCTTTTTGCAGCTGTCAAAGTATGAAGAGATGAAGTTATTTTCTGTTCATTAGAAGAAAGCACTTCAGCAGAAGAAAGTATAGTATTTAAACATGTTTACACTGATGCATCCTGCTGCTTAAAACTGGCATGTGCTGAGTAGCAGTGTGTCAGCTTCCACCCTTTTGGAATTAATCACAGTTGTGTCTACTCAAACCAAATTACTGTGTAATGGGATAAATTAAAAATAAAAATGACAGTTGGAAGGACATACTGATCATGTGCAATATCTTATTATACTGTGATACACCAATATCAAACCAAGTGCTAAGGAGTGCCTGTATATAACTGTGTACACTTCAGCATCCATACTTCTATCCAAAGGTACCATACAGCCAGCATGAGTGTTCACCATGGAGTTGAGAAATGGACAGAGCAGGCTTTGGAATTCTGCCAGCCTTCACTAAGGATAATATCAATTTCCAAAGCCTCTTGCAGCAATAATGTTAACACCTAGTACTCACAGTGCTTCATGGGTGCTAATAGAACAGCCATTATGGGATATTGAACTAAAAATCTGTGATATAGTCGCTAAGTTAGTGCTGTGTTGTAAATTTGGTGCTCTGATCCTTGCACCTGTGGGGGTAGTGATTTATTATCAGTGCAGGGAGCTGTACAAAATGAAAGAAGGCAGATATGGCTGTGATACCAGAAAGTGACAATCAGCCTAAAGCCAACAGCTGAAATGTCAGCTGCTGCATAAAAGGGAAATTAGCACCCTGTTGTTTGGTAGTTCCTTTCCCTCTGTTCTGAAAAGGTCTAGAATGGTGATGCCTCCTTCCTTCCCCAAAATGTCCCAACAGAGCCAATATCTACTCCAAGAGAGCGATGAATTCTTCTGTGCAGAGCTAAGAGTAACCAGGGAGCTTCTAGTTGCTAGTTTGTGACCTGATCTGTGTTTTTCAGACACGTTAGTTTCCTGGGTGGGGTGATCTTTTTCCTGGTTGTTTCCTTTCCCTTTCCTCTTAAAAGCTAAGGCATTTGAACCCTCACCTGGACATTTGTCTGCTTGGGTCAAAAGGAAAGAAGATGCTGCTATTCTCCCCCACTGAAAAGGCAGAGGAGCTGCTATTGCCTGGAAGTCTCTACCAAGTCCTCTCTGTGCTCTTACTTAATAAATGGTTGGTACTGTAGCTCTCAGCTTTCCTGTATCAGGTCTGGGGCAGTGCAGTTTACAGGCAAGCTAGCTTTTTTTGTTTCAATCAGATGATTGTCAAGGTTCTGGATCCTTGATCCTCTTTTAGCCTAAACCGTGGGACCCTTCTCTCTTTTTGGAGCCACTTTTTTTTTTCCTCCTGAAGTGTAAATCTGTAGTTGTTTCTCAAATGCTGAAGCACTCTGTCTTTTTTGACACTTTGTTGGGGGTGTCCGCCCACACAAGGCCTGAATGGGTAAATTAGGCCAATTAACCTATAAGCTGCACCTAGAGGAAAGCCAAGGAGTGCTAAGGCCTAGTTGGCTGAGGAAGTCCAGCTGGGGGAGGAGTTGGGCCAGATTTATAAAGCCAGGAAGCTGGCAACAGAAAAGGGCTGCAGGGAAGTAGTCTGCAGTCACTCCCTGGGAGAAGGGAAGTGTGGTTGGGGCTACAGACGCAGATAGCCTACAGTTACTCTCTGGGAGGTGGGAGCTTGGGCTGGCAAACCCAGAGCAGTGGGGAGAGCCAGAAGGTATAGAAGCAGCTCAGGGAAGGGCAGCAAGGTTCAGGAGGGATCAGATGACGGTTGACTAGTGTCCCTGAGCTGGAACCCTGAGTAGAGGGCAGGCCTGGGTTCTGCTACCAGCCACTCAGGGAGTGGCACCTGTGGCAGTGAATGGGAGGGTTGCCTAAGACTGCTGGCGAGAAGAGACTTTGACTCACCCCCGGAAAGGGAAACAACATAGTGACCTGGCCGGAGGCCTGAGTCACAAAGAGGAGGCTGCAGTTCCTGGAACTAGAGTGGAGAAGCGATGGAGTGCTGGATGCTGTTGGCCTGGCAGAGCTTATCCCCAGAACCACAACAAGGCAGTACCATCTAGTGAGTAGAGCCCTTTGTCACACACTCATTACTGGGGCCCTACCAAATTCATGGTCCATTTTGCTCAATTTTACGGTCATAGGATTTTAAAAATCGTAAATTTCATTATTTCAGCTATTTAAATCTGAACTTTCAGTGTTGTAATTTTAGGGGTTCTGACCCAAAAAGATGTTATGGGGAGGGCCACATCAGAGTTCCAGAACTGTATGGAGGGCCGGATAGGGAAGGCTGTGCCTCCCCAAACAGCCTACCCCCTGACTGCCCCCCTCAGAACTCCTGACCTATCCAACCCCCCTGCCCCCTGACAGGACCCCAGGACTCCCACACCTATCCAACCGCTCTCTGTCCCCTGACCGCCCCCCAGCACCTCCACCCCATCCAACCGCCCTCTGGCCCCTGATTGCTTCCCGGGACCCCCTGCCCCTTATCCAACCTCCCTGCCCCTTTACCATGTGGCTCACAGCACCAGGACTGGCAGCTGTAAGTAGTACACCATAAATAGCCCATTCCTACAGGGAGCAATTTAATACCCTACACAGGTGGTTCTCACAGTTGTGCTGCCCAGCAGGAGCTCGCAGCCCCGCTGCCCAGGGCACTGGTGGCACAGCGAGATGAGGCTGTGGGGGGAGGGTCCGGGAGCTCAAGGGCAGGGCAGGATGGTCCTGCGGGCCAGATGTGGCCCGCGGGCTGTAGTTTGCCCACCTCTGACTTAAATCCTACTTTTCATACTTTAATAAAATCACTTTTGTTTATTAATAAACCCAGAGTGAGTAATACCTGCGGGAGCAAACAGCTGTGCATACCTGTCTATCAGTGTTATAGAGGGCGGACAATTTATGTGTTTACCATGTATAAGCTTTACACCAAGTAAAACGGATTTATTTGGGGTTGGGATCCCATAGGGAGCGGGATGCTGGAGACAGATGACCTGCTGAGCAGTTTTTGGTTAAAGTCTGCAGCTTTGGAGGCGTGGACCCGACCTGGGTCTGTGTTGAGTCCGACGTGCTAGCCTGCTGCAACAAGGCAGGGTTCTGGAGTCCCAAGCTGGCAGGGCTGTGGCCGAGCAGGGTTGGGAAGAGGTGGGGCGGGGCAGGGTGGAGGGGGCGGGAGCAGCTTTCCTGGGCCCTGCTGTGAGCAGCCCACGAGGGGCTGGCTCAGCTGCCCGCAGGATCGGGCTGGCCGCTGGAGCAGCACGCACCTGCATAGGGCACCAAGAAATTTGGGGCAATTTGGTGCCCCAAATTTCCTGGTGCCCTACACAGCTGCATAGTTTCCATATGGGTAGGAACGGCCCTGTCCATACCCCCAATGTTTTTCTGTTACAAAATATCTTCTTCTCAGTTGCTAACTCTTTGAACTCTGGGCTTCTATGCCTGTCAGCACAGAGAAACCACTAGGAATACAGAATTGCAAGGGGTTAGCAGAGACCTGCACAGAGCAGGGAAGTGGTTAAAATAGACCGCAGCATTTAAAAGCAATGTTTCCCCTTCAGTGAAATAAACATAAAGAGGGGCACTCAATGCTGCAGGTGAGAATTAATCTTTATTAATGCAGTCATGCAGAAATTCCCAATCAGTGTTATAGGAGAGAGTGCCAAAAACAACCAAAGCAGAAGAATCTGTAGATTGCAGATAGCTCACAAAAATCTAGAGACCAAGAACGTAAAAATCTTGAGAACAAACTCTGTCCCGGTCTTTGATTCTTCTCTACCATGACTTCATTATTTATCTATGGCAATAATGGAGAGAAACCAAAATGTATTTAAGATTCAGTAAAGAATAGTGAAGTTATTCTTTGGGGAAATCTATGGGAATTACCAGCTGCCTGTCATCTTCTAAGCACACACTTACAGGTCCTTTTGTCAGTGTAAATAAATCATTCTTAACAGGGAAGCTCATCTTCTAATCTACCACAGAATGTGTCAATCATCGGAGACAAATTGGAAAGAATAAGGCACTGCACCTTAATTGGTAATATGGGATAAACCAGTGGAGATCATTCATACCCTTTTAAGAAATTAGTATTTGAATATGGAGGAGATCTCTGGATCATCAGGTCCATCTCTCTGCCAAGGTTTCCCACAGGTCATTTTCTTGTGTTTTGTACCATCTAAGTGTAGATGTCCTAGAGGCATTCACCTTTAGCTTTCCAGTTCTGAATTTCATCCTATTCTCTTTAAAGTTTAAAGACCGTACAATCTCAGTGTGAGACCAGCAATGGCCATTCCCCTCCTCATCAGTTTTTATATACTATATTTGTCTGGCACATCTAGCACCAC